CGAGGATACGAAAAAGGACAAACTAGAAATTAAGCATACACTGACTGAAATAAAGAATATTATACAGAGTTCCAACAGCAGACTAGAGGATTGTAAGAATCAAGTCAAAGATTTGAAATATGAAGAAGCAAAAAACACCCAACCGTAAAAGCAAAAAGAAAAAAGAATCCAAAGATATGAAGATAGTGTAAGGAGCTCTGGAACAACTTCAAGCATACCAACATCCGAATTATAGGGGTGCCAGAAGAAGAGAGAGAGCAAGATATTGAAAATCTATTTGAAGAAATAATGACAGAAAACTTCCCCTACCTGGTGAAAGAAATAGACTTACAAGTCCAGGAAGCGCAGAGAACCCCAAACAAAAGGAATCCAAAGAGGACCACACCAAGACACATCATAATTGAAATGCCAAGAGCAAAAGACAAAGAGAGAATCTTAAAAGCAGCAAGAGAAAAACAGTTAGTTACCTACAAGGGAGTACCCATACAACTGTCAGCTGATTTCTCAACAGAAACTATGCAGGCCAGAAGGGAGTGGCAAGAAATATTCAAAGTGATGAATAGCAAGAACCTACAACCAAGATTACTTTATCCAGCAAAGCTATCATTCAGAATTGAAGGTCAGATAAAGAGCTTCACAGATAAGAAAAAGCTAAAGGAGTTCATCACCACCAAACCAGTATTATATGAAATGCTGAAAGGTATCCTTTAAGAAGAGGAAGAAGAAAAAGGTAAAGATAAAAATTATGAACAACAAATACACATCTATCAACAAGTGAATCTAAAAATCAAGTGAATAAATAATCTGATGAACAGAATAAACTGGTGAAGATAATAGAATCAGAGGCATAGAAAGGGAGTGGAATGACAATTCTTGGGGGGAAAGGGGTGTGGGGTGTGCAGAAAGAGACTGGAAAAAAATCGTACACCTATGGATGAGGACAGTGAGGGGCGGGTAAGGGCAGAGGGTGGGTGGGAACTGGGTGGAGGGGAGCTATGGGGGAAAAAAGAGGAACAACTGTAAAAATCTGAACAATAAAGATTTAATTAAAATAAAAAATAATAAAAACCCAGTTTTTAAAAGAATGACAATTCAATTAATACAAATAAATATTTTCAACATGGCAAAACCACATAAGAGTCAAAAGACAAGCCCTCCCTGGCCAGTGTGTTCAGTGGTTAGAGTGTCAACCTGCACACGAAGGTTCACGGGTGCAATTCCTGGTCAAGGGCACATACATGGGTTGTAGGTTGGACACCCAGCACAGGTCCAGGCACGTGCGGGAGGCAACCAATTAATGCGTCTCTCTCACATCTCTCTCTTTTTCTCTCTCTCTTCCCCCCTTCCATCCCTCCACTCTCTCTATAAATAAAATATCCTCCGGTGAGAATAAAAAAGTCAAAAGACAAAATAAAACTATCAAAAAAATGTAACTCATATATAGACAAAGGGCAAATTTTCCTATTATAGAAAAAGCTATGAAACAAAGAAATAAACCAAGAACTGAATAGGCGAAGCAAATGGACATTTCAGAAAGGAAAGTCAGAGATCTTAAACATATGAAAAGAGAAAAGAGCTCAAACTCTCTCATGAGAGAAATAGAAATTAAAATACATTGATGTGCCATTTTTTAAAATTATTTATTGTTAAAAGTATTACAGATGTCCCTTTTTTCCCTCCATCAACTCCCTCCACCCTGCTCCCACCCACTCCCCAGGCCTTCCCCCCACTATTGTCTGTCCATGGGTTATGCATATCTACATTAATAAAAGAGAAACATGCAAATTAACCATCACTCTGCCACTCCACTACACCCACAAGCCATGCCCACCAGCCAATCAGGAGCGAGTATGCAAATTAACCCAACTAAGATGGCAGCAGTCACAGAGCTGGAGCAAGCAGGAGGCTTGGGTTGCCCCCCACGATGGAGGAAGCCAAGCTCCCCGCCTGCCCTGGCCAGCCCTGGGCTCTGCTCAGGGCTACAAAGTTTCAATTATAGAAGATAAATAAATCCCAGATACCTGCTTCCAGCCGGCCGTGGCCTCCGCTCAAGGAGGCGCTGAAAGAAAAAAAAGAGAAAAAGGAGAGGCTGGGAGCTTGGGTCACCGGGGGGCGTGGCCAGCCTGAAAATGGCCATCAGCCCCTCACCCAGGCTGGCCC